CACCCAAAGCTCACATTATTTTTGAAAAAACGCGAGTGCAAGTCACTCCAGCAGCTAGCCCATGCTACTGATCGCTTCATGGAAACACAAAAGTTATCAAACATCCGAAAAGTCCCGACGACTCTAGAGATTTTAAGAATATTGATAACGCTCCAAACAAACCAATGCTAAAGTGTATGCTTCGCAAGTGTTTGAGGCATAAAGCACATGATTGTCGCACTTCAGCTGAAGAGGCGATCAAATGTAAGGTTTGTGAGAAAATAGGCCACAAAAGCGACGAGGGCTGGAGTATGAAAGCACAAAAAGAAAAAAAGCTCCACGTGGGTAGTGAACAAAGCCCATCCCAGTTTTTTTTTCAAGGTAATATACTGGAGGAGGGAAAAAGGAAAAAAATGTAACTGTCGTAATGAAAGTTTGGAGGAAATGAAACCCCACATTTTTGTGCAGGGAATGCCAGTAATTGAAGGCGTAGTTCTGGGCACGCTAGTCAAAGTGGTCTGAGATACAGGCAGAAAAACTGCAAATGTTCGGAGGGAGGTGGTGCCGAATTAACAGTTGACCGGGAGAGTAGCAAAGTTTTGCTCATTGATGGTTCCGCCATCGAAGTACCAGAGGCCAAATTTCCTTTGGGCATTCCATAATTCTCAGGAGAGATAATAGCAATCTGTGAGAACAAGCCTCTATATGGCATGGTGCTTGGTAACTTTCCAGGTGTCAGAGAGCCTCACCATTCGGACCATCAGTGGAAGCCTGTTGCAGCTGACCAGACACCTACGGCGACTCAATGTTACCCTGTGGATGTTAAGAACATCCCTGATACGTTTCTGCTATGGTGAAACGGCACCAAGGCAAGAATAATTTGTTGGCTGTTTCGAAGATCCAACGGTGTGACGTTACAAAATACCAGTTCTTCGAAGAATAGCAGAAGACTGACATTGAAGGCTGTGTTCGCTAAAGTTGCTAAAGACTTCAAGTCACGAAAAGGCCACAGTTATGGGTTTGTAGAAAGACGTGGACTGCTCTACAGACAATACTGTCTTGCGAGTGGCAGAACCCTTAACTAACTCGTCCGTACCAAAATTCTTTGAATGGCATATCCTGGAAGTCAGCCATAGAGCCTTATGACAGGGCACCAAGGCATTCGACGCGCAACAGATCGAATTTTAGCTGATTTTAACTGCCCGGATCTGTATGCGATATAGAATGGTTCATCAAGTCATACGACAAGTGTCAACGAACGACGCCAAAAGGCAAAATCGGTGTGGCGCCTCTGGGCAACATGCCTGTTATATGTTCGCTGTTTGAGCGTTTTGCGGTTGATTTCTTCGGTCCGTTCCACCGAAGTCGGACCGTGGTGACCACTACATTCTAACGATTATTGACTTTTCACCCGATATGCGGATGCCTCTGCGCTCTTCGCAATCGACGCTGGCATGTCACAGAAGGAGTATTTGAGATTTCCTCTCGAGTCGGGTTACCGAATAAAATCGTAAGTGACAAAGGGACAAGTTTTACAGTGGAACTCATGGGAGAAATGGACAGTCTTCTAGCCATCACGTTTGTCACATGCTACACGAAGACATTTTTCATATGTTACACGAAGACAGGCTCGTGACAGCTTTTTTTTGTGGCGACAAAACCCACAAAATTAGCTCACTACAGTTTTGTGCACATGTTTATTTTTATCATGTCAGTGAACGCATGTAAGGCGAAATCATTTAGCCGAATCATGTTTCCTACTTACTGAGCATGCGTGCCGCGTCACCGAAAGGCACAGAACGAGGGCGTCGTCTACTCGCGGTGTGCACCGGTGAGCGATTTCGGTACACATGAGAAAGCATGCTGCCATAGCAGCGCCATGATGGCCCTGCGCACATGGTTAACTACAGGCCGACTCATTGGCGACCGGAAGCAGCAATCGAGTTCCACAGATGTTATCCCTCTCGCTCTATACCACATAGCAACACCTTAGTTCTACAACCTGCGCAGTCTGTGTCGGTGGCCACGCGTTCCGAGTGTCCTATTTCAATACTGAGTAATGTACATATTGTTGTAGAGCCTATAAACAACAAGCTATCTATCCGGTGGAAACACTCTTTTCAAGTAACAGATAGGTATTCATTAAACAAACCACCCGTATTTGTCGTAATTTTGGGATATTTCGATGTTCTGGCTGCTGTTAAACTAGCGAGCATGTCGGAGGTGCTACCAACGCGAACTAAAGGTCTTGACATAAACTTGACTCGTAAAAACAAGGCGACTCAAAAAGTAGCTCACTTAAGCAGTACTATCTAGTAATTGTTGATATTAGTGTTGCTTATGTTTGAGCGCACTCTGCAAAGGCTCTCCTAAAGTTTTATGAAAGCGAGTCCTTAGAACAATTTTCAAGTCACATTTCATACGAACAAATTGAGGGCAAATATACATTACCTTTTTTTACATGATATCAACTCACACTTTTTGCAAAATAGTTCTGTGGAAAACCGCAAGGTGGTGAGAGGCTTAAGAAAGGAAAAGACAACCAATTGTTTGTAGCACGAAGCCATGAGGAAACCCATACGGATTTCTCAAAAAGAAAAGCCTCTCAGATGCCGAAAAACTTCCTGGTCCGGGGTTGGCACCGAGGACCAACGCCTATTCGGGGCGTTTGCTCTGACAATTGACCTAATCTGGAATCTGGCAGCACGAGGGCGAATTCATCGACAACTCGAAGCACATGACCACAAGTATTGCAAATAAGTTTTGCGGAAAAGCGCAAAGTGGCGGATGAGTACAAAAAAAAGGTATGAAGGTAACCAGCTGATCCTTGTGGCTTCGTGCTACGAACGGGCGGTGGTCTTCTTCCTCTTTCGACTCACATCCAGTGTTTTCTTTCACTTGAAGTGTACCCGACTCCTATAGGTGGTGCCATGCCCTATGAGACGCTGATCAGCAGTCATTTGCTGCACGTATTTTCTTTTGCGAAAGCTTCGCTAGAAGTTACAGTTGCATTGACTGTCATGCCGTGATGTTTTGCGGTTCACATGTCAACCCTATAAAACATTCCACCAGTTCAACCCACAATACCTACCTTCGTTTTCTTAGCATGCGCTTGAAAGCAACAGACAGTGTTAATAGTGCACTGGAAGTCCGTCCGGTTCTGGTGCGAAATTTTGATGCGTCTGTGTAGCGAATTCGGCATTGCATGCGAACGCCTTGGTTAGGTGTAAAGTGGCGCTAAAGATGTATACCACTTTCAGTTAAGGTGTGTACACGCCAAATTCAGTGGCACCTCACGCACCATGTGTTCCGTCGAATGGCGTGAAACTTTGTGTGCACATTGCTGAAGGCTTGTGGAGCTGACGACTAGCGACCATTTAACTTCATTTTGCTACGTATTTATGCAAAAAACTAGAGTAGTTCGTTGCAGAACACTACCATGTTGAACGTGCCATTTTCTAGGACCAATATCAAGACTTTTTTTCTTCGCGGAAAAGAAATACAACAAAAAGTATAGCATAGGATGCGGGCGGAATAGTTTTATATTTATGCAAGTATAGAAGCTGACTGATCGCCAAATAGTTACACAGTAGGTAACACGATAATTACTTTAATTACTCAAGCTCACCTAAAGCAAAGCTTTCCATCATTTTCTTTCTTGTAACACTGAGTGTTTTGGAATCATGCCGCGTGAATTCGACCCATCATAATTTATGGCTATAAGGGGCAAGGTAACATCGTGGGAATATCCGGGTTATATTAGAGCGGTCGCTGGTGACTTCCACAAAGATGTTGTTCACCACATATAGCCTGTGCACTGGCATGCATTTTCTCAACTCAATCAACGAATATTTTAATCGTGGTTACTCGCCTTAAGCATTTGTGCGGTTTGGCTCTTCTTAGTTATCGTTAACGTGTTCGTGATCAGACCGTAGCTGTGGCATTGCACGTACGCGTCCGCTTCAGCTACGGGAGGTGCGGGGTTGGATCCCCAGTGCTGGCCGGCCACCCACCGGTAGCTAAACAGGGTACAGGCGGGCTTCGAGGGGCTGTGACGCGTCGGCCCAGTGGTGAAGCTTACTCTTCCTGGATACTCCCAACACGCTGCGTGGGGACCCTGTGTTCGTGATCAAAAATGCATGTACATCCTAAACAATCAATAAATGGAACAACAAGTCGCCTATTTGCTTTGCAAATGCTGTCGCTTATTATTTTAAGTCTTTAAAGGGCCCAGCAACACTTTTTGTGAATGGTCAGACAACGCTGCTGATCGGTAGTATACGTTCCCGACAACACGCAAGGCAAATATTATGGCGCATCACGCTGCCTGGAATTCTCAATAACTTATCAAGACCAGCTAAAATTGCTTTATATTCGCTCGACAAATGACGGAAGACGCTAAAAAATTACTCGTGGAAAACCCATATATTAGCCATTGGCTGATTTGAACATGTTCCTCTGGGTCATTCCAGATATCGCAGTGGGAGGCCACGACTTGTCCACGCGGGTGCGCGCGATGGTACACAAAAAGTCGCGCATTCAAATACAAAATGTGCTCAAAGTCATGAGGTAAGGGTGACGTATTTTATTTGCCCCTGCTATCCCTTTCTGCTCAGCTTCCAGTGCTTTTGTCGGGACGAGAGAAAAGAGAATGCAATTACAGCATGCGACAAACCATTTGTAACTCCACTCGCACAGAACGGATTCTTAAAGTTTTCGCGGCTTTGAAATTTGAAGCAATAAGCTCTTCCAGTGAATGCATTTCATAGTTATTCGAAAAAGCGTTTAAGGGCCACGTTATTGCAGGCCTTCTTGCGTGTTGCTACTCTTTGTTGTGCTCCTGTAGATCGTCAGTTACATTTCCAGGATGCGTTTCTTATCATCGTTTGTGTTTTCATGTTCTACAGTTTCTGTGTTTTTTCTCGTGTTTTATGCTTGACGTATTCAAGCGCTGAGAAGTAGTCGGTGCCTTGTTTGTGCTTCAACATCTCCATAGAATGGTATCACGTTGGCAGAATCAATAAAGAAATAAATAGTTCTTTTATTACAGTGTATTTCGAAAGATTGCAGGATTTTCAGAAATACCCTCATCGACAATTCTTGATTCCAAATAACGCTTCCCAAGGACTAGGGCATCCGCAAGCACTCGGAGCCTCTCTTGGGCAGCTTCCATAAAAGCAAGTCTGAAAAAGAGTTTGTCAAATGAGCGAAATACGTTAATTTCCAATATCTCAATTATTGAATACTATCGTCAAGTCCATTCATAATCAAGTCGAGTTCTTATCGCAACCTAATTCCTAATGTTAAAAGAAAACTAGAAAAAACAACCAAAGTTATACCTCTATTCGCGTTTTCTTCAAGCTATTTTGCTCTTGTTCACAAATTTATAATTCAAATTCTTGGAAGACGTGCTAGCAGCACGTACTGTGTAGTTCCTATGAATACCTCGAAAAATATCTTGAAAATTGAGTTTTCTGAGAGGTAATGACTTGTAAACAATAGTACCAACTCCTACTTAACGTTTCCTTTCTAGTTAAGACCCCGATTCGCATAACATGGCTCACTAATCAACTATCATACCAAACCACCATTCGATTTTCTCCAGCTTAATCGAAAGAGTGGAATTTAAACATTACACAAACAATTTCGTCGAAAAATGAAGAATGTTACTAGTTGTGCCCTGTCATGTCATCTTTAAAAGTGTGCTCAGGGTACTACAGATCTTTAAAAAGAATAAGTAGTCTCTGTTTCTGCTTTATATTAACTGCATCACACCTCACTATGAAAATCTGCCTGTTAAATAAGGCAGCTTTTACTTGCTGTTTACCACAATTACACGAGGTGTAAAATACAAATGCTTCTTTATTTGAAAAATCCAAATGGTATAACCATGGAGTTTCGCACATTATTTACCCCTGTTAGTCGTAAATTTCTTACGTAGAAAAAAATTCGGTTATTTATGTGGTTATTCCGATGGAGGCGGAAATGTTGTAGGCCCGTGTACTCAGATTTGGGTGCACGTTAAAGAACCCCAAGTAGTCTAAATTTCCGGAACCTTCCACAACGGCGTCTCTCGTATTAATATGGTGGTTTTGGGACGTTAAACCTCACAAGTCAAATTAATCATTTATGTGGTCACCAGGGTGCGGTAACCACATTATGTAAGCAAACGTAGGAATAAGTTCGAGGTGCGTGCGCATCGGACCTCCCGTCCAAACGGGGTGGCGGCCATCTTCAAAGCGTACGCTGCGCTTGATCTGGCTGGCGAAAACAAAAAAAAATTGCAGCGTCACCGAGCTTTGCAAGTCACCATCAGTAGATGTTCAGATTGAAAGGCTCCTGCTAGTACGCTAAAATACGTATGCTGTGTGACCACGTCGTTAAACATTCTGCTGTGAAGCGAGGGGTTGGAGGCTTGAATTCCACGGTAACAAGCTTCAGAAATGTGTTTTTTTCTGCATTATTCCAATTTCTCTACAGCATACATGGCAATACACGTGACTTGACGACGATGGTGACGTCAGTGGCCAAAACTAGTTGAGGGTAATCATGGAATCGATCTCCCATAATTGCCTCTTATATAGAAAACCCATGAGAAGTGCTCTCAATTTAAGCCAAAGGCAATGCTACAGAGGCATTACCAATGGAAACATTGCAAGCTAGAACTGAAGAAAACGGCCGGAAAATATTGTTTACGCAGTCTAGCAATCTAGCAATCACCGAGATAAAGTAATAATGGACGCCGAAAATGATGCAACATAACACGTTAACAAGCCTTTGAATCCGTCAAGTGGCGCCGATTTCGGCGCTATACATGTCATGGCTTCTGCTGCTTCTAATTGCTTGCCAATGTATTTCCTCCTCCTTACTGTGGTTACTGGTATTAAATGCGAAGCATTTCTTAGGGAACTTCGGCGACTTTGAGCGTATCTATCTAACTATCTATCTGGCCGCTTACGTTTGGGTGCCTCATGGTCACCCCCTTAATGTGACGTGAACCAAAATTAGCATGGGAGGGTAAGATGATTTGACGAATATCACGCACCGATCAAGACATGCATAATATCACATTCCTGTCGCGCACGTCGGCAAACACATCCCGCCAAACAGTGGCACACACTCAGAGACGGGTACGTTCCGCTGATATGCTGGTATGTACCACAGGTAATTGACACTTATTATCTACTTAGGAATGATGAAAATACACATGGGCAATTTTAACGCGCGAGCGTCAAGAAATAACTTACATCGGTATAGCGTTGACCCGACGAATGCAAAGAATCAATGTCAGGGTCCCATCTTGAGTCGAACCCAAGCATTCTGCCAGGCTATGAATCATTTTACCGCAGGGCTATGCCAGATCTCGGAACTACTTTTCAAATGGAGGCCAATCATCGTGAAACGGGCAATAGTCATTGCAGCGCTGCCTACTCAATTTCATAAACATCATATATGCACTCGTCTGATACAGCCGTCACGTCGGGTTTACGTCAGTTGTGGTTAGTTGCCATGCGCTGAAGTTGATTTATGTAGCAGTGTCCAGAGCCAACATCCTCACGAGCATCACGATGTGCTTCATAACAGCTTGAGGTGTTTCTAATACGCATATTCTAGTTGGCATCGTTGCGCAAGTAAAAACAACTGGTTATGTAAACATCTGCAACTTTCCAATTTAACTCTGTGCGTGTAACATTTGTACACATATTTAGCGTCATTTCATGACGTGTCGCTCAATAAAAACAAATGCAACATGGTCACGTTCCCTCCATATGCTTCGCATAACGTTGATTTTCAGGTGCGTGGGATCTGGCAAATTTTTCTTAGTATTGAAAACAAAATCTACCGTAAAATATACAGGCGAGACTCTTTGTTGGGTGAACTCTACCCTGGAAACAAAAAGTCATAGATCAAGCATTACACACAAAATAGTGAGAATGTTGATTACAGTCGGCAGCCTTTTGCAATTTTATCATCGCCAGAACTCCCGATGTAACCTGTATAATAATAAAGTTTCCTGAAAATAACTAAATGAAACTCTGGCGCTGCGATCCTTCAGCCCGCATTTCAATGATGGGTAGTACACGAATTTGCCTAGTCTTTGTGCTTGCGGACTTCGAACTCACTTATGATCTTCCATGCAGTCAATGAGCTGGCCACTGCGAACTTCGTGAGCTGTCTTGAATTGCTGAGCCTGAATGGTTGAGGTGGTGACGTGAATATGTTGTATATATGCTGATTGTCGTTTCTTGACTAAGCAGCTCCAAGCCACGAAAGAGAAATAAAGCCGAAAGTACGAAAATTAGACAAATGTTTGCCACCCATATTTCTTATGATGGCTGACACGCCGACGTTGCAGCTCCCATTAACATCAGCACCGGAGTTCGTATTAATAGAAAACTAAGTGCCCAATATGACCACTAGCAATACCTAAGATTTTGGATGAGTCATGTTCACGTAAAAGTCAAACGAGGCATGGTTTCGGAGGTTTTACTCTTCGTGGATTCATCAAAAAATGTAACAGCAGCTGTCAGGTGTCTGCATATCATTCAAGTGAAGTAGGCGATCTATTGATAAGCTTTGGCATGCTCGCAGTTGATAGTGATGCCGTGTTTTTGTTTTATGGTGACGTTCAGCAGCACGACATCAGGCGTCGATTTCTAGTTTCTTCGATAATTGTATGGAGTCTCGTCGTCGTTTCCAGGGCCGTGTTGCATGTGAAAGTCAGCAAGAAACTTGACTACGTATAGTTTTTGTTCCACCGTATGCTCTCGGCGTGAATTTCGGTGATAGTCTTACTCAGACATTTGGAGAATACATTGGTCGGTCAGTGGTAGTTGGTGGTACCGCAGTTGTTTTCTTTGTTGTGCCTCAAGTTCAAAGCAGTCAGATACGCAGCGCAAAGTTGTATATCTCATGGCGATGAGGACCGACACACTATAGGGAGCACGAAAATGGTGGTTAAAGTCAACACACAGGCTCCACAATGAGAACTTTTAGGGGGGATGCTCTTTATGTAGTGGTTCGAGTGTCCACTATGTATGTAGTAGTAGTAGTAGTAGTAGTAGTAGTAGTAGTAGTAGTAGTAGAAGTAGTAGTAGTAGGCAGCCACTTCTTGTTTTGTCCTTGTAATGTCTGCTTGATGCGGTACTTCTATATAATCAGGATATGATGAAAAGATGCGAGGAGGTGTTACTTGAAGTGCTCAATAGATGGATGAATGGACGCACGCACGGACAGACGGACAGATGCGTGGACGGATGGAAGAGCTCCAAGGCGCACGCACAAGCGGACGTGCGCATGGACGGATGAATGGTTAGACGGACAGATGAACGCGGGAATGCAAGCACAGACGCATGCATGGACGGGCGCTTAGATTGACGCACAGATGAACGGGCGCACGGACGGACAGAGGCACACATGGATGCATGGACGGTCACACGGACGGATGCAAGCAAGAAAGCACGGGCGGACAGAAGTGCAGACGGACTTACAGATGTTCTTCCCACTCATCAGTATTGAGTCCGTGGATGTGCAGTGATTTTTTTTTTGTCCGAAAGATCCAGCCATCCAGCCTTCGCCGCCTTCGCCTTTATCTGAAGACCGGTTGTGTTTGCTGTGGGCATGGACATGTTCGCACATGTGGACTTTGGCAACCGGCCGTCTGGAACTCCTGTGCTGGTCACCCGTGAAGTGCCATGCATAAAGCGCACCCCCGCGGCGTAGCGGCTGCGTTCGTGCGAGGCCATCGACCATGTCCCGCATTCCTCCGGGCATGACGTAAGAAAAATCATTTAAGTGTGCACACTCCGTTCCACGACACGTCCACATAAATTTCACCTCTTTCCTCCTCTCGGCGCCCGTGTCGCTGCACTTCTCATGCAAAAACCAGGTACATGCGTAGCTTCCGCGTCGGCGTTGTACCGTGAGAACTCAGTGTTCGAGGTCTAATTTTTTTTTTATTGTCGGGGTGGCGGGGAGGTGGGGTTGCGAAGCTCCCTAAGCCATGGGTCGTCCGTTCGCGTTGTATGTGGTAGTAGTACTAATCGTCGTCGTAGTAGTAGTAGGTAGCCAGCTCCATCGCCGGACTAGAGGAGCGGCACGCGCCCACCCTTTTCAATTGAGGAGAACACCAGTGTACATTAATCATGAATGAAAAGATAGATGTTTATTATGAAATAGTTTA